ACTTTCTGATGCCATGGGGCAAAATACACTTTTAGAGGGAAAGAAAGAGGACAAGCCATAGTGGCTTGTCATTCATTCATAGTAAGTATTACAGGACACCAAATATGTGCCCTAGTGATTCTAGACGGAATAAGAGAGAATAAGAAGTAGTCTCTGCTGTCAGTAAGCTTACAATCTAGTGGGAAGATAATATAGATAAGTAGATATACAATTACCTAATGCACAGAGAATACCAGGACAGAGGAAGATGAAGCCATATGCTGGAGCACCTAGCCCCACTGAGGGGAGATGACAGAACCTCGCTAGAGGAAGTGATACCCAAGGGAAGCCAGGAAGAAAAGTACTTGGTTGGTCCTCGTGGTACTATGGGAAATTGCCTGGCCTACAGGACATCTCACCTTATAATTTATTTGCTTTTCTTCTTTTTTCTGACATACTGTTTTTCTATTCCTCTCTTCAGTGCATTTGTCCAGATGTCTGTATGTCTGGGACCAGGTGTGAGAGAGAACCACAGAGAAACTCTTGCAGCAAACTGACAGTTTCTATTTCAGATCTTTCTACCACCTCCACTACCATCACTTCCACTACTACCACCACCACTTCTACCTTCATTCTCACCTCTCAACACCACCACCATCATCACTACCACTTTTCAACGCCTCCATCATTACCACCACCATTACCATCGTCACCATCAATATTCTCACTACTACCTCAATGTCTTCATTGTCACCTCTACCACCAAGAGCACCACTTCTGCCACCATCAAAAATATACACAAGTAAGCCTTGTTTTAACTAATCCCAAAAGTGTGTATAAAATCTGAGCTAATATAATGAACAAATTAGGGGATGTTATTTGCTTTTCCCAACTATTCAATGTACAGCAACCTTAAGTAGTTAAGTTTCCCCAGTATTTTTTATATATGCGTGGTTTATAAACTTTTTTTTTTTAATTTGAGAGAGAGAGAGTGCGCAATAGGGGGAGAGGAGCAGAGGAAGAGAGAGAGAGAATCTTAGGCAGACTCCATGCTCAGCACAGAGGCTGATGTAGGGCTCGATCCCATGACTCTGGGATCGCGACCTGAGCCAAAATCAAGAGTTGGACTCTCAACCAACTGAGCCATCCAGGCATCCCAGTTTACAAATATCTTAACTGCCCAGATCTCTTTAGGAATATACTTGTTTTAAGAAGCAAGGCATATCAGAGACAGGGTTTTCATGCTGAGAAAGAGGACACACATAGTAAGCTGAAAAGGTCTCTTTCCTTGTTCACTAAATTATTGAGAAGAATTTTGGGGCACCTGGGTGGCTCAGTCGGTTGGGTGTCCAACTTCAGCTCAGGTTATGATCTTGTGGTAGGTGGGTTCGAGCCCCATGTCAGGCTCTGTGCTGACAGCTCTGAGCCTGGAGGCTGCTTCAGATTCTGTGTCTCCCTCTCTCTCTGCCCCTCCCCTGCTTGTACTCTCTCTCTCTCAAATAAACATTAAAAAATTATTGAGAAGAGTTTTTTAGCATACACAAATCTACTCAACATTAAGCAGTTTTAGTTATTTGATCATATGTCAGTGACTGTAAAGATGGAAGTTAATTCTATCAATAGTACTCCTATATACAAATAATAATCTATATATAAAATTTTGATTCATATATTTATATACTTAACTTACATATTTTATGTGAATACATTTGCATACACAAATATATAATACTTATAAAGGTGATCAGTGTATATTACTATTATAAATATCCTTCCCTAATCATGAAACTTAGGTTATAGACTGAAGTACGCTGTAAAAATGATTACAAATTTCTCTCATCCTTGTGTACACATCCCTTGCACATCCCTTGCTTGCTATATGAATGTGCTACTCTTCTTATCAAGAAGAGTAAGAAGAGTCTATTTCCCCACTCCTTGACTCTTGACTCTGGGTTGGTCGCGTGACTTACTTCGCTATTGGGATATTAACAAATGTGACGCAAATAGAGGTTTGAAAAATGCATGCACTTTGGGGTTTGGCCTCTCTTGCTGATTTGGGAACTCTGCCACCACCACCATATGATCTAATCAGAGCTGGCCTGCTGGAGGATAACAGATCATGTGGAGCAGAGATGAGCTAGTCTAGCTGAGGCCCTTATGAGATCAAGCAGCTCACCAGTGACCAGATATATTAGAGACCATCCTAGACCATCCAGCCCCAGCTGAGCTGACCAAAGCCGAAAGAGCCACTCAGTCAACAGACTACCAACTCATGAGAAACAATAAAGTGTTTATTGTTTTAAGCAAAAAATTTTGTTAGCAAAAGCTAACTGATACTGATACAGGAATCACACAGTATGGAGTTTATTAGAGCCACAGTTGCCCCAAATATGATTTCTTCATTTTCTTCCAATTCTAAGAGCTCTGATTCTCTTTCATTATTAAGCTTCCTTTCTCAGTTATGGTCTTTACAGAAGAAAGGGGGTAGGGAATAAAGGTAGAAAAAATGAGGGATGGTGTTAAGAGTGAGGAGGAACAGGAGATGTGAATTACAGCGGTGATGGTGACACCAAAAAGAGAGGTCACTACAACTCATACATTGGTGGCTAACTTCCTGGGAGAAGTTCACTCTGTAAAATCAGAATCTCCATGAAACTCCCTGGCACTGACCCCAGATGTCCCTATGTTCAATTGCAAACGCACATTCTAAAATTCCCCTTCTGTTCCATTCCTTAGCTCCTCTCAATCTTTTTCACTATCCCAAATATGGTTTTCTATTTGATCTTCAAAGTCCAGATCATCCTTAAGCTTTAGGCAAGATTGAATTCACTTGTTCAAATGATGTCTTCAGGGAACTGTCTCTCTATCTTTGTCTCTAGGTTCTGCTTTCCTCTGTGCTGGCCTCATTGTATCCCTTAATCCCTGACCTATTTTGTAGGTCCTAGAGTTGAGTGGTGACAACTGTCAGTTATGTCTCCTCTTCTTTGGGGGACCAAACCTTCCTCCCCTTCCCCACCATTACCCTAATCACATGAAAGGCACCGAGAGTCATCCAATTTCCCAAGTCAAAAACTTGGAAGTTATCCCCGACTTCTCTGTTAGTCTCCACATCTAACAGATCCAAAAGCCAAGTCATTTCTAGCCCACCTGTGTCTTTGGAATTGGTTTTCCCTCTCCATGGCCATTGCCACTGTGTGTCGTCCTGCACTGTTACATGTCATGGAAGAAGAAAACTTCTTCCTAACCAGTCTTTGTTTTGCTTCCTACAAACCATCCTCCATGCCTGAAGTAATCTAAGAAAAAATGTAAGTTTGAGTGTAGCCTTCCCTGCTTAAAAAATTTGGTTATGGGGGTAGATGGCTGGCTCAGTAGAGCCTGTGACTCTTGATCTCAGGGTTGTGAGTTGGAGCCCCATGTTGGGTGTAGAGATTACTTAAAAAATAAAATCTTAAAAAAAAAAGGTTTGTAACTTTGAATGTACCTTGTATGTATGTATGTAACTTGTATAAACTGCTTTATAAAACTGGGGTACAAACATGATCCTATTTCATGATTTTTCCAGTCAGTCACTTGAACCCCTTGCTGGCTGGTTGGTAGAGAGCCTAGTTAACTTGGGAGTTCCCTAGAAACAGAGCCTGAGCTAGGGATAAGTGTCATTATTTTAGGGGCCTCTCCTCCCCGCCACTGGGGCGTGGCTGTGCTCGCCTTAACTCAGTCTGTCTGGCAGGTCTACAATACAGAGTCTTGGGGCAGGAGATTGGGACTTGGTGTCTTTCCTCCCAAGAGGCCCAGAGCTCCTTGGGCAAATTGCTGTACCCAGTGACAAATGCTGCCTACCTGGGGTCTCAAAGAGGGACCTTAATCCAGTCATAAAAGATTCATGCAGAGGTAAAAAACACAAATCTCTGTAGGAACCTGAAGCCTGACAGACACGGCAGAGGCCACTCAAAACAATCCATTCTTACAAGGCAGGAATTTGGCACTGACAGTTCCCACAACTTTGGAACTCTTCAGGAGCCCAAAATTTTAATTTTTATGTGAAACATTCTGATTTTAAACTGTCAGCTTGATTTTTTTTTTTTAGGCAAGAAAATCAAAACTTGTCTGGGGCCTTATCTGGCCCAGGGGCTATCAGTTTGTGAATGTGGTTTTATGCCCTAAATCCTAGAACAATGAATGCCCCTTGGTCCCATATTTGCATAACTATGGGGCCACTGCAAAGAATTGGGACTGACAAAGATCAGCTGTGAACTGACTACGAAAGGTTCCCTTACTTCAGGACAGTCTAAAGTCCTTTATCGTAGCCTATTGTGGCCTCCCCGACCTGGCTCTAGCCTTCTCTGGGGCTTGCTACTCCCTGACTCCCCCACACTGTCTCACACCTCAGGGCCTCTGTGTTCACTGGGGTATTCCAGAGGCCCCTACTTTGAGTTATCTAATCAACACTTGGACTCTCCTTCAAGATGGGGCTCAAGCACCCCTTCCCCTGGACAACCTTCCTTCCCCCAATCTCCGCTTTCTCACCCGCTTACTCCAGGGTTTAGAGGGGTACCCCACTGCCCTAAGGTTTTCTTTACAGGTCTGTTGCCCCACCCGACGTAACCCCTAGAGGGCAGGACCCTGGGTTTCTTTCATCACCTCTGTATCCTCATTGCCTCATAGAGTATCCACGCTATAGTGCAGATTGGAGGAATGGGCATCCAATTTGAAAAACAATGATGGTTGCCTTTCACATGCCAGAAACCCACTGGCAAAGAACTGGTAATTTATTTTGAGAGAAGTTGAAACTTATTTAAGGGGGGAGGGGGTAACCTCTGCATACTTTCATTTTTAAAATGACCACACATTTGTGAAATATTTGTTGCAAAGAAGTAAGTTTTTATATTTCCCCAGCTTTGGACATAACTGCGTTCTGTGAATTCTAGAACTGAAGAATGGCTAAACTGACTCCTCGCACCAGCCCCCTCCCCCACCCCCCCAAACCTCAAAAGTTCTCAGGGCTCTTACAGTAGGGACTGCTGGCTGCCTCGACGGGGAGAGGAAACCTGCCCCTCTAAATGAAACAGCACTTGTACAGAGGCGGCGGCCTACGTTGGCAGAGCGAGCAGCCACAGTCGAAAGACCCTTTGAATAATTCGCTCTGAAATTGACTGAGGCTGGTAGAAGTGTAAACTGAAACTCCAGAGGCTAACCCTAAGCGGTTACATTTTCTCGACCAAAAGGTTTCCCAGCCCTGTCACTCATTCCTGCTTTCTCTCTCTCCCCAACGCGCACACACACACACATTTGGATGGACCGCTGCACTTGACGTTGAGCCTGTCTCCTACCTGAAGTGGGGCACCTCGGAAAGCCGCGAGGTTGGCGTTTCATTCATAATATACGACCTCAAGGGAGGAGGGAGGCAGGGACAAGAGCCTTTCATCTCTGCTACTTAAAATCCCAGCAGCGCAGCCGAAAAGGAAAATGAGCTGGGAGTGAGCGGCATCGGGGCAAGTACGGCACGATAACGGTACGCGCGAGCGCGTCAGAGGCCCGCCCGCCGGCTATTTATACCGCGTAGATTATGCAATCTGGCTTCAGCCATTCATGCCCGGACTGGGACGCCCCGTGCCGGGGGGTGTGGGGGGAGTATCATTCCCGGGCGTCGGGTCAGTTTCTAAGTTTGCATCATCCCCTTCATTACGAGAGCTTGGGTTTCCATTCCTGCCTGCTGGTCTTGGGGGAGACAGCTGGGCTACAAACTCACTTGGCACACGCGACCGCTTACTTAAACATAATAAAGGCACCGGGACGCTGAGGCGCGGCCGCGCGGCGCGCGGGACTGGGCTCGGGGCAGACCGGAAGGAACTGATAAACCCAGCGCTAATGATACCCGCTCCCTCCCCCGTCGGAAGTGTCCTCCGGGCGCCGGTCATTGACAAATACCGAAGGGGCAGAATGGGGGTGAGGCGAGGACAGGCCTGCGCGCAGCTGCGCTCCTCCAGGGCGGGGAGGGAGAACGCCGCGACGGTGGGGGGTTTCTGTCGCGCGGGTCGGGAGATACAAACCTCAGGGCATAGCAGAGTCCTCCCCAAATCACCCCTGCCCCGCGCGCGCCCCGTGGGGGCTGGGGGGGGTGATTTATCAGATTGCACCCACAACCCCACCGGGGGGAGATCTACACTCGCGGCCCTACCGGACCCGGGTGAGGTGGGAGAACGCAGAGAGGGGGCGAAGGACGCGAAAGAGAGAGCGGATCTTCCAGAAAGATAAAATGTCGGCTTCTCTCGGCGCCAGCGCAGGGCGGTAGGGAGCGGGGGCTGCTGCCGGTTTCCGAGTGAAACCAGACCTGCGGGTCTACTGAGCATGCCCGTCCAGGGGCCTCCGAGGGTCGCTCCGGTTCCGCGCTCCGGGCTTTCGGGGAGGCCGGCGGAAGGACCCGAGTGAGGTGGGGGAGTGATTCCCCGCCCCGGACTCCGGTTTAAGGCGTGAGAAGGCGGGGGTCCGCCTGGGGGCTCCTCTGGGTGTGCGTGAAGTTGTGAGAAGATCGATTCTACTTTTGAAGCTGTACGATCTCGCTCTAAGTCGGCATCATTGAATTGATCGCGTTCCAAGCTATCCGCTCCGTTCTGCTGCTTGTGGGGGGAGAGACACGGATGTGGGTATTTAGCTTTCAGTAATGTCATTAAGTTAAAGCCCTAAATCCATGATACTCTGATAACCATTCTGTAGACTTGGATAGCACCCTGCTATTCAGATCAATAAACACATCTGAGTTATTCGCTCAGTACTGCCATTCATTCTATGGAGCTGCAGGAGTCACAGTTAGTAATTGAGGGGGAGGACCAAGAGGTGACCTGCTGGGAACATTTCCATCAAAAGCCCTTGTGGGTGATGAACAAGGCAGAAGAGAACTGGAAGGATTTCTTTAGAGGAACATGAAGGCCCTTGAGTGAAGCCGGTGGCATTTGGTAATACAATTGGCTACAGAGAAGAAAGGGTTGCCATTGATCTATTTGCAGTGCGCTGCTTAACACGGTACCTTCACTGTATAGCCATTTATTCTTCCCAGCAATCCTACATTGTGGGTATTATCCTGACACTACAGATGCTGAACCCAAAGCTCAAAGAACCTAAGGACCCTGCTGGAATCTGGCATCAGGGCATCCAAGTGGGGACCTGGTGACTCCTGAACTTTAGAATGTTCTGCTTTGCTCCTCTGGCTGCCAGGTCTGCCATCTGGGACAGTCATTCACTGCTATTAGCAAGGAGCTGGATTAATGAGTGGTGATGACACCAATTCACTTGCCTACCTGCAGAAATTAATTCATCTCACCTGCCACCTTGCCATTTGGGCACTCTGAAACTGGAGGGTGGAGCCGCAGAGATGCCCATTGGGTGGACACTTTTGACATGGACAAATGTCTGTTCCTGGAGGTTCAGGAATGACTGAATGGGGTCTCTTTCAGCACCTCCAGGAGAAAAGCAATGATCAAAGGTGAGAACTGGATAGATGTCTTAGCCTTATGGGGATTTAGAGAACAATGAGATCCTCCTTTGTTCAGTGCTTTCTCATAAACTCTCAATGGCCCCAAACCCAAGAAAGACAAGATTGGCCTTGGTAGCCCTGTTTTATAAAGAAACTGAAGAATTGCTAAAAGTCTCACTCAAGGTTTCAGAGCTGCTAGGAAAAAACAGAACCCAGGCATTCCTCCCAACTAGTTCTTTTCAGCACCACACACCAGCACTCAGCATCAAAGGTGGGTAAACAATCCAGATCCACAAAAATCATGGCTGTGATCAGCATGAACCTAGGGTAAACCTCTAGTTTCTCCTTGACTCGGGGTGACACTCTTTGGAACACTTGTAGCTCTCCAAATGCATTTATATACCCCTTAGGTATACTACATTTGAGGCATATATTTGATCTCTTAATTTGTTCCATGGTCGCTATTTACTTAAAATTTCTGCATGTTCTCTTGGCACATTCAGGAGGATGGAAAAGTCTACTGTGCTTGGAGAGCAGGAAGGAGCAGGGGCTGAATCTCTGGCTTTCTAGCAAGACCCTCGGAAGGAAATACTGAACTGCTATGTAATTTCTGGGACCTACTGCAGAGTAAAAATATGGAGCCCCTTGTCACAACACTGTAAAGAATTTCAAAATTGCAACAGCAGAGGGGCGCCTAGGTGGCTCAGTTGGTTAAACATCTGACTTCACCTCAGGTCAGGATCTCCCCCTTTGTGGGTTTGAACCCCACATGGGTCTCTGTGCTGACAGCTAGGTGCCTGGAGCCTACTTCGGATTGTGTCTCCTTCTCCCTCTGCCTTTCCCTGATCGCACTCTGATTCTCTCTCTCAAAAGTAAATAAACGTTAAGGAAAAAAATTTTTTTTAATTAAAAAAACAAACAAACAGCAACAGCAGACACTCAAACCAAGAGCCCTGTGTAACAGGACAGGTTGCATGCCAAGGAAGCCAGCCCTGTCCATTGCCCAGAAAATGCTGCTTTGGAGAGCATGGGCCCACCCAGCCCCATGGTCCCAGGCCAAGGCAAGAAAAATCGTTTAAAGACAAAAGGGGGAGGGGGTGCGGAGGCGGAATCCAGAAGCTCTCCATCTCCCCATCTGTGCCAAAGCCCACTGGGCTGGCACACTCTGTCCCAGTAACTATGGCCTTCAAGGACCTGGGACAAGAGGAATCCTCCACCAACATTCGAGAGGTTTACGAAATAATTTTAAAAATGTATTTGGGCTTACCTTTTAACCCGAGGAAGTCCATCATTTCTATTGAAATGCAAATGTTTCTGGGCTGGGCTGTGTTGGATTTACTTTTTTTTTAAATGTACAAATGATTCCTCAGAAGCGCCCGTTCCTCTAGCAAGACAAAGATCACAAGATTCACGTGAAATTGGAGAGAAAAAAAAAAAGCCTCTGCCATTCAGAACCCGGGCAATAGCACCTGTGCCGCCCCCACCCTCCGGCCCCACCATTGAGGGTACTTGGTCCTCTGAGCCAGAGCACCCCTCGGGGCCTCCCCTGATCTCCACGTCTTCGCCCCCGCCCCCCACTATTTTTAATCCAGGGGTTTAGACATAGGGAGGGAACCAAACCGGAGCCAGATGTGTGCGAGTCCCTGGCTCCCGCCTCCTCCCTCTTCTCGGGCATCTTAAAACCCGGAACGTTGGCGAAAGCGGATCCGGAGCTAGACAGACGCCGCACAAACAACTCCGCTCCGGGCTCCACCGGGAGTGGAAGTCTGGAGGGAGGGGGAAAGGAAGCCGGGCATGCTCAGTGGGCGGGACAAAGTTGTTTTTTTTTTTTCTCCTTTTTTTTTTTTCTTTTGGTCGCAAGTAGGAAGCTTTTTGCACTCCACCACCTCTGGCCGCTGGGAAGACGTCATCGCTTCCGCCCTACTTCCTCCTCCTGTTGGCGGCGGTGAGAATCCAATATGGAGTAAATCGGTGGAGTCGAGAGATGGGGCTCGGACGGGGCGCCCTGCACCACCTCCCAGGCGCACCTCCCCCGGCTGCCGACCGCTCCCCGGAACCGTGATTGGCCCGGCCCCCGGGGGCGACCCTGGACCGAGCCCCCACCCCCGGCCGGCCCTCGTCTCCTCCTCCTCTCAGCAGTCCCCGCCGCTCCACGGCGCGCTTGTTTTTCTCCTCCTCTCCCCCACCGCCGTCCCCTGCCCAAATCTCTCCCCCTCGGCCCGCAGCCGAGCCCCCGGAGCCCCTCCTGCCTCGCCCGCGGCGCTGCGGCGCTCACCCCTCCCGCAGCTTGCCTTTGCACCCCTTCCCCAAACCTCACCTCGCGTTGCTGTCGCCCAGCTTCCCCTTCTGCCTTCTGCGGCGCCCCCTTCATCTCTTGCCGCTCCCCCTCCCCAACCAAATCAGGCGATCTTCGGAGATGTGAAGAAGGGGGGCGAACGGACAGGAAGATGAAGGGAGCAAAGCTGCCCGCCGCGGGACAGGCGTCTAGGTGAACAGGAAAATGACCGAAGAAACACACCCGGACGAGTAAGTTTGGCCGCGGGGTGGGAAGAGGGTGCCCCGCGGGGGCAGCATGGGGGCCGGGGTTGAGGACGCAGGCGGGGACGCTGGTTGGGTGAACTTGGCGTGGGGTGCAGCGACTCGCTGGCCTGTGGGCTTCGGGATGCGAGATTTCCCCTCTTGTTGTTGAAATGAGGAGGGGGCAAAGACTGCTCTGGGCCGGCGGGGGTGCGCCTTGGGTCGGCCGGCTGGTGGCCACGGCGGGGGCCAAGGGCGAGCGGGTGACCTCCGGGCGGTCCCCGCACCCTCTCCGGGGACTCACAAACACCCCCTCCCCCCCGAAATCTTTGGCTGCGGGAGCCCAAGACCTGACACCCCCGCTCCGGCTTCCTGGGGTCAGTGGGTTTTCACTTGGTGACTTTGTGACTCCTGCCCCGCTGCTCGCCCCCTTCCTCCCCGGTCTCTTAGGGAGCCCACTGGGGCCGAGGCTCCGCCATTTCGTTTTCTTGAATCGCTCTCATTTGCATACCACATTTTCATTCATAAAAACACGGCGGAGCGAGGGGAAGACCGGGCGCGGACTGCGCGGGGGTCTGCGTGAGCCCGGATCCCCCCACCACCGGCGGGTCATCGTGCCGGAGCCTCCGGAGGGGTCCCACGGCGCGTGTGAGCGTGTGTGCACGCGCTTGTGGGCTCGGGACAGGCTCCCCGCGGGGTCGGGGCCGCTCGGGGGCGGATCCGAGTCGTGTGCGGCGGGGGCGGGCGGGAGCGTGCGGGGCAACGTGCTGCGGGCCAGTGAGTGTGTGTGTATGTCTGTGTGTGCATTCGTGTGTGTGTGTTTGTGTGCGCGTGCACAGGCATGCGTGCCCGGCCCGCGAGCCCGAGGGGAAACAATGCTCGGGGCGCTCGGCTAGAGGGACTCCGGGGCTGGCCCATCGCCCTCCGCGGGATGGGTGCTTTTTTTTTTTTTTTTTTCCAGCCGCAGGCCAAGGTGAGGCTCCTTCCAGCCTTGCGGTCGTGAAATCGGGTTTGGCTTTCTCCCATCCCCGCCCGAGGCATTTCCAATAGCGGGAGAAGCGGAGGCAGAGCTTCTGCGCCCCGCGCCTGAGGTCGTCCGCTTCGGGTCCGAGTGGTCACCGCACGGTGGCTATTGCTGCTGCTCAGTGGCTGTGCCCGCCACCAGCCACTTCTTTTTTTTTTTTTTTTTGTGAATAAGACGCTCTCCTTTATTGTCACATGATATCCTTCCCCTCCTCCCCTGCACATTCATAAATCCGGAGACTGCCTCGGCTCCTTTCATTCAGAGCTGCCATTAGCCAAGGTAGCAGTGGAGCTGGCTTGGGCGCAAAAAGCCGGTTGGCAGCCGCCCGGACGCGCCCTGGGGGGAGGCCCAGAGAGTGTCTTTGGGGGGAGTAGGGACTTCGGGTAGCTGGTCTCCAGGCCCCGGGTCTTTTGCCCCTGCGAGCATTGACGGTGCAGTGAGGGGAAGTGACTCAGGGTTGGGTGACGGGGAGAGCTTTTCTTGCAGCAGGTGACAGAATGCTGTGCTCTACTCTTAAGAATCTACTTCACTTTTTTTTTTTTTTTTTTTTTTAAATGTCCCTTTATCCTTTGGCGTCTGCTATTGCCAGGCTGGGCGGGAGGGGGTGTTGAGAGGGTTGGTGTTTGGGAAAGGGAATTTCTTTCCTGTGGTCCCCAGAGATCTTTGACTGCAGTAACCCCTGGTCTGCCAGAGACCTGCAGCTAGAGAGCATGCCGCCTTGTGTGCATGTTGCTGCCCTCCCACCATCTATGCTGGTCTTTCTAGTTTAGATATTTTGCTTTGCCTTCATAGACTGTATTCTTGAAACGGTAAAATGAAAAAAAAAAGTTACACTTGTAGGGCTGACATATGGAGGGGAAGAAATATGCTGCTGGGCCTTCCCCCACTTTGGGGCTTGACTAATGAGCAAGTCTTTTTCTGGATCCTCCTTTGTCCTTGCATACAGAAATAGTAGTAGCAAGGAGGGATGGTTGCCTTTCTCTGGTCTTGGGGATTCTTGTTGAAGATTGGTTCTACTTGCCCTGCGTTGAGTGGGTTTCTTGGCTCCGTCTCTTGGGAATACTGGCTTGGGTTCTCCCTTTTCACCGCAGCATGTTAGCTTTGCATTGTACCCCATCTTGTATCCAAAGCAAAAGGATTTGGGGAGGGATCACCAGCAAGAAATGACTACCTCTGGGGCGCCTGGGTGGCTTAGTCGGTTAAGCGTCCGACTTTTGCTTGGGTCATGATCTCGCAGTTCGTGGGTTCGAGCCCTGCGTAGGGCTCTTTGCTGACTGCCAGCTCAGAGCCTGGAGTCTGTTTCAGTCTGTGACTCCCTCTCTTTCTGACCCTCCCGTGCTCACACTGTCTCTCTCTCTCTCCTAGAAATAAATACAAATATTAAAAAAAAAAAAAAAAAGAAATGACTACCTCTATTTCCTGCTTTAGAGAAGCTCAGCAGGGAACTGACTGCCCCCACTGCTGTCAGAAGCCCATTTAAGACTATGGGTATTTGAGGACAGGTTCTGGTTTCAGTTCGAAAATCAGAAAGCTGTGGCGCCTTAGCCCACTGCAGAAGTGGCCTTCACAGGATTACTTTTAATGCAATGACCTTGGCATGAGACATGAAATGTAAGCTTGTCAGAAAACAGGCTTCATGGGCTGTAAACTGCCATTTGTGGACACTGTCCATAATATTGTTCCAGTTCTTATGTAACGACCCAGCTGAAAAATTCCTTTTAAATGTTAGTGCCTAGAAGAAGGTGTCTGGGTTACACAGCTTTGCTGTGATTGCTTTATTGTTATTGTGGGGTTCTGTCCGGAAGCTCCAAGCTAAAATCATTGCTTGATTATAGTAGTCATACTAGCCTAGGTCTTTGCTAGATTTATTTACTCCTCCTCTGTATGAATCTTGATCTTTTATTTTCTCTTCAAATAGCTCTATGTTTTGAGTTCCTGCAGATACCTTTTAGAAGTAGACAAAGTATGTTACATATAAAGAGAATTGGTGACCTCAAACTGGAGACCTATGGGAGATATATTTATGCTTTGGGTAAAATAGATAGTCCATATATATTTCAGGTTTTTCTTAAATGATACATATATATAAATGTTACATTTAGCATCACAGTACAATGAGTCAGAATCTTGCAACTGGCAAAATGGTGCCTGATTAAAAAAAATAATGTTTTGTCTTCTAATGCTCTTTTCCATATCAGTTTAAAACTCCTCTAGTAAATATATGGTAGTTCAGGAAAGCTCGTCCTCTCTTTTTGCAGATTGCCCTAAAAAATAGCTTCTGTATAGAAAATACTCTGACCATTGTCTAATTCTACTCCAGCTGGAAATGCATGTTAACATTTATAGTTCTACCAATTTTTTGTATAATTCAAAAGTAAAAAGCATCAACACATGATTGAAAATGATCTTTTGTACATAAGAGTGGAAAATTTTTTAAGTCATATACATTTTTTCAGTTTCTTTAAAGCATTTGATTATGGCCGTGAATGGTGTGGGAATTCATAGGCAAAATGAAGAAACCCTTCTCAAGCGAGCTTAACTGAGGAGACATGGAGTGCTATTGAGCTATTTTGTTCCTCTCATAAACTCTTCTCTGAACCACATATCTCACTGAGAATGGACTTGTAGTTTTGTCCTTAGTCCTGTTTTTCCTAATATTGAAAGGTCTCTCTGTAAAAGAAAAAAAAAAAAACTTAAATATTTTTGTTGAACCATTTCAAAGAAATCAGACATCAGAACACCTTATATCTAGATATTTTAGCTTATTTCCTAAACGATGAAGATGTGTTCTGTGAAACCACAATACTGTCATCACATTTACAAAGTTAAGAGTCAT